TTTCTGCCCCCACCCCCTCACCTCCTTTGCCCCCTCCTCTGGGTTCCTGACTCTTTCTGTAGCCTTTCTACTGCTACTCCTTGATTCCTTCTTACAGCTGTCTTCCTGCCACACCCCTGATCTTCTCGGACAAGGGCGAAAAATCTCGGAGGGCCCGTGTGCAAGTTGCGTACGTTAAAGATCTCTTGGTGGTCTAAAATCGATAAGAGTAGGCTTCGGCCGCTACCGGGGCAAAATTCAAAATTTCTTACCAACTGAAAATATTAGGTGTGTCCCGCGCGCTCATATGACCTTATGCAGTTGCGATCGCCGTAAAACACTTTACAAAACAAACATGAGATCTAGCAAGGGGAAGGCAAAAGTTGTTTTTTGTTGTTGTTTTTTAAAGAGAGATGAACAAACAAATTAAAAATGGCCACAGACAATACTTTCCACAACGTCTCAACATTGCTATTTTTTACTGTAAAACTAAACGCCACATTCTTGTGTCCCCTTCAGACGGGACCATTTCAGAATACGTACCAGAAAGGACAAGAAGAATGCCACACACAACAAGCACCACATCTGGAATCTTTGCAGCTGCCATCGCAAAGAAGAAGAAATCAGCACAAAAAGGTAGCTTGTTGAAAATGAAGCGTCGAAGGATACGTCCTTCCTTGTTAGCGTATCATTTCACAACTGCGAATGTGCGTCCTTCGTGGCAGTAGGTACTCCAGTGCCAAAAAAAAAAAGAAGAAAAAAAAGTAGAAACAAGTTACAAATAGTGCTATCGTTTTCTTTAAAAGTCCAGCCAGGCATGCAACGTTCTGGTCTGATGAAAACTTTCCACTCCCCCCCCCCCCCCCCTCTCCTTTCTTTCACCCCGTTTTCTCTCTCAGCCTGTCCCTTTTATCTCGCTGCGTTGTCTCCCTGACGTTCTTCGTTTCTCAGTCTGTCTGTCTGTCTGTCTGTCTGTCTGTCAGTCTGTCAGTCTGTCTGTCTGTCTGTCTGTCTGTCTGTCTGTCTGTCTGTCTGTCTGTCTGTCTGTCTGTCTGTCTGTCTGTCTGTCTGTCTGTCTGTCTGTCTAACAACAACCTTACGACCCGCCATAATCTCTAAATACTCTGATGGGAAAAAACCCAATATAATACAACTAGATAGATAGATAGATAGATAGATAGATAGATAGATAGATAGATAGATAGATAGATAGATAGATAGATAGATAGATAGATAGATAGATAGATAGATATATAGATAGATAGATGGATGAATAACTAGATAGATAGATAGATAGGTAGATAGATAGATAGATAGATAGATAGATAGATAGATAGATAGATAGATAGATAGACAGACAGATAGATAGATAGATAGATAGATAGATAGATAGATAGATAGATAGATAGATAGATAGATAGATAGACAGAGCACAGGCTCAGGGTAGTAGGTTCTTTGCCACAACGCTGCCTGTCTTTTTTCCTCCGGTCCTCCGTCTTCCATTAGCCGAATCAGAAAACCTGAAGCTATGCAATACCTTCCTCCTGTCAAATCCGGCGTAAAAACTCGCACAAAGGGACCTCTTTCTCCCCTCCACTTTCCGGGTGGCTGGTTGGAGAGTGTTCTCTGGTATTGCTTGTTCCTTCTTTCGGGTCAACCGTCTACTGTCCTGATCTCTGTATCTTTTCTTTTTTTTTTCTTTTTTTTTTGTATTTCTTATTCTCTTGTAGCATTCTAATACTTGACAACTGTTAGATGATCTAATTGTGTTGCAAGTGCTGTAAAAGTTTCCTACACGCTCATATGACCGTATGCTGTTGCGAACGCCGTAAAACACTTACCAAAGAAAAACAAAAAGCAGCCCAAAATAGAAACCTTTTCTTTCCTCCACATCCACAACCCCGATCTCCGTCATGTAAAGCGCAGTGAGAATGCGGGGGGGGGGGGGGGTCCTTTTGGGATTTTTTTTTTTGGGTGGGGGGGGGGGGGGGGGGGAATCCTCCCTTTTTTTTTTTTTTTTTTACACGTTTTCGTATAAGAGGACAGAACAAACGTTAAATAAAGTAAGTTTTCGTAAACTTTTAAGGGCACTTGCAACAAAGTGGGTAGCATAAGTGCCACAGATTAGAGGTGTTTCAAGAGAGTAACAGAGAAGGTATAATTCTAATGACGATAGATGTTTGATAGGAAAGAAGGAGCAGAACATAACGAAGCATCCGCCAACCACCTCTTAAAAAAGTCAATCTATATTTTCATTGTACGTTCAATGGATTCCAGATGTACACACATACACATATAAACACACACACGCACACACACACACACACACACACACACACACACACACACACACACACACACACACACACACAGAGAGAGAGAGAGAAAGAGAGAGAGAGAGACACACACACAGACACACACAGACACACACACACACACACACACACACACACACACACACACACACACAGACAGACTTCAATGACTCACTGCTCATTCAGGCAGAACGTTGTGTCCTGAGAAAATGACACCGTCCTATTTCCCTCATATTGCCACTCCTCGAATGGGCCACAACGCGGTGGAATCAGACGCTAGTCAATTCTTGTGTCAAATTACTACGGACTTACAAATATTGGTATAATGTGAATGTCGTGTTCATTCGATTTTGAAGAACCCCCCCCCCCCCCCCTTTCCCATATTTTTTTTTAAATTAAAGTCGAAATGTTTGAGATTAAAGGAGATTGGGGTTACCTGCTGTCAGAGTCAGAGGTAATTTAGCGGGGAAAAAAGAAAATTTTAGTAGAGATTTTTCGGCGCTCGCAACTGCAAAAGGTCATATGAGCGCCAGAAGATTAGAGGTGTTAATGAGAGTAACAAACATAAAAAGAAGAAGGGGAGATAAGGACGATAGATGTTTGATAGGAAAGAAGAAGCAAACCACACCAGACCACCTGCCAACCACCCACCAAAAAAAAATGTCTGCCAAAGTTTGGTGACTTACAAAGCTTGATTGTCCTTAGAAACTGCAAGTTTTCATTTTTATTTTTATTTTTGGTCTTTGATCAACGTTTTCTCAGTAACATTCACACAGACATGTATTCATAAATGAACGAAAAATGTGATAAGCCAAGTTATTATTTTTTTACCCCAAACATTTTTTTAACCGACAAAATTGCCCAATGGGCGGTTTCTTTGATTTCATTATTTAACACGAGAGCCTGATTTGACCACAACGCCTCACAAATGTGCAGTAAGCAAGCAGTGCAGACGGAAAGTGTTTAAAAAAAAAATTATATTGATAATGACCTCAAGGGCGAGACCCAGAGCAACCTATTTGGAGAGCCTGACAAAAGAGTGACAGAGAACATTTAGATGAATACATGAATGGCGTTGTTGTTGTCGTTTTGAGAGAGAGAGAGAGAGAGAGAGAGAGAGAGAGAGAGAGAGAGACAGAGAGAGACAGAGAGAGAGACAGAGAGAGAGACAGAGACAGAGACAGAGACAGAGACAGAGACAGAGACAGAGAGAGAGAGGAGGGAAAGAGAGAGAGAGAGAAAGAGAAAGAGAGAGAGAGAGAGCAAGAGAAAGAGGGGGGACAAGGAGAGAAAGAGAGAAAGAATCCGAGCAAACAAATGAAGAATTGCAAGCCATGACAAATCGCACGTCTTTCGCAATCTTGAGCGCGATGTGTCTAAAGGACTGTGCTGTACAGCTCTATGCCCGTATACAGTAAGAACACAATGAAAAGGTCGGCCTGCCATGGAAGTATTAAATAAAATTGTATGGGCACTCGGTGGGAATTTTTAGGCTCCTTGGCTTCTTCTTACTGCTGTCTTTCAGCCGCACCCCTGATCTTCTGGTAGGAAAGATCTACATCTAGCCTTCTCGGACAAGGGCGAAAAATCTCGGAGGGCCCGTGTGCAAGTTGCGCACGTTAAAGATCCCTTGGTGGTCTAAAATCGATAAGAGTAGGCTTTGGTCCCCACCCGGGCAAAAATTCAAAATTTCCTACCAACTGAAAAAGTTTAATGTGTCCCGCGCGCTCATATGACCTTATGCAGTTGCGAGCGCCGTAAAACACTTGCAAAAACAAACCAAACAAATAAATAAATAAATAATATAGGCATTAATTTTTACTTTAACATTTGAAAATATCCACAGAGTACATGTTTCTTGTGTCGTATATTTTCTACTGTTATCCTAAACTGCATAATAATAGTAATAATAGATAGCATAATTATTATGTATAGCGCATATCCTTGCTCAGCAGCACGCCGAGTGCACTTTATATACTACTAGCTCGGCCCCATTTCGTTGAAAGGAACGATCGGTGCTTTAATATCAACTAAAAGTCATTGGCCTACTATATTTACACTCTACTGAAATGGGGCAATAAATCTTGAGAATGCAAAAAATTAGAAGGTCTAGATCTAAATTCTCAAAACAAAATGCGCGTCGCGAAATATCACTTCCGGGTTTTCTAAAATTACAGAGACAGAAGCGTCGGCCTACAAAAACAATCGGCGAAAAAGATAAATTTAGCTTTTACAGCAAAACTGTCTCAAAACTGAAAAAAACCAAGGGCGTCATGATTTGGAAAATATTTTGAAGAATATTTTGGCGAAAACCGCGTGTCGATCGATGCAGCCATTAAAAAGCCTTTTGAACAGCAAAATTCGGCCATCACAAATAGTTAATAGAATAGGATGATATGTCTCTCTCTGTCTTTCTCTGTCTCCAACTGTCTCTGTCTATCTATCTATCTATCTATCTATCTATCTATCTATCTATCTATCTATCTATCTATCTATCTATCTATCTATCTATCTATCTATCTATCTATCGATCTATCTATCGATCTATCTATCGATCTATCTATCGATCTGTCTATCTATTTATCTATCTGTCTATCTCTGCTCCCCACCTCTCCCCCTCCCTTTCTGTCTTTCCATCTCCTCCTTTTCCCCTCTGAGTCACTCCCCCTCCTTCTCTCCACTCCCCCCCCCCCTCTATCTCTCTCCGTCTCTGTCTCTGTCTCTGTCTGTCTCTTTCTTTTTGTCTCTCTTTCTGTCTCTGTTTCTCTCTCTCTGTCTGTCTCTCTCTTTCTCTCTCTCTCTCTCTCTCTCTCTCTCTCTCTCTCTCTCTCTCTCTCTCTCTCTCTCTCTCTCTCTCTCTCTCTTGGGCTCACTCAGGGGAGAGAAACAACCAAAAACACGAC